GATAAAGATACTTGTCTGAACAAAGGGTAATTAAGATAGCTATTTCGAGCAGTTGCTAACAAAGGCAATACCGTACCAAAATGTGTGAATATGAAGATGTAGATTTGGCTAAAAACAAGAATGTCATAGGAAATAATTTGAAGAGATGCAGAATTAATTAAATGAGCCATGATATTAGAAACATTTGTTTACAATAACAAATTTATTTGATTATTTGTTTGTATGGTTGAAGTTTCGCGAATCGAAATTCGCGACAGCATTTATAAAATTTTTTGAACATAAAATTCATTCATGACATCAACGCTGCATTGTTTAAAATTTATTTTGATCATCTTCTCCAAGCATATACTTCAGAAACAAAAATAAAGAATCTCAATTTGTTTTCTAAACTTCGCTCTAAAATTTTTGTTTTTCCATAACTTTAATTTTTCCTAAAAATAGTAAACGATTGAATGAATCCCTAGCGCTGTCATATTTTTCCATCCAATCTTTAAAAATGTTGAATTGTTTGGAAATTGGAGTTGGATAAGGAAATGTTATAAACTGTGTAGCATAATAATAAATCTAACATTACTGATTCCTTTTATTACTTACTTCTTTTGCATTATCAAATATCCAAACAGCAATTTCAAATTTTCATTTCCAAGCATTAATTGAATTTTCATGTGTACTCTATTCATTAAATGAAATTAATATCCATCTGTTTGGCATTAATAGCAAAAATAAATCATTTTGAGAAATTTTTGCGATAAAATAGTCATATATCAGCTTTGCTTGGCTTCTTATCAATTTAAACGGACCTATCATCCTAATTTAGAAGTTTATTATTAGTTTTTGACCATTACCATTTAATTAATTGTGAGAAAAATCATTAAACAAATTTCTCTATTTTAAAGCATTCAATGCTTTTGAGAATATTCGATGGCGCTGTTATGTTGATGGATTGCCCTCAGAAGAATTTGTAAATTGTTAGTTTGCAAGAAAATTTCTTCTCTATTAAACAATAATCTTTGCGTAACTTTTTTTATAATCTCAAATATCTCAAAACATTTCGATTTTAATTTCAATTTAACGGTGGATGAATTTATTCTGGTTAAAGTTTTATGTCTTTTTCTCGGTGCACGAGTAATAATTAAAATTATATTCGAAATTACACTGCCACTGGAGGGAAAGGTACTGAAGGAATATAGCGATACTGAGATTTCCTGTACAATTCAAACTTGTTCAAGTATTCTCTTCTACTATGTCATTCATACTAAGCTTAGGAAGCATTTTTAGAATTTTCTACTTCATTCTTGTCTGCACTTGAAACAGAGTGACTGATAACCTGTCATTGCAAAAGTTTAAGATACAATGAAAATGGAAGATTAGAATTTTACAAGTCAATAAAACATATAATGATTTAGAAATTAAATAGCGGTAATAAAATGAAAATTATTTACACTGTGTAAATTAATTGAAACCAAATTATATGTATTATTTTTTTTGCAAAATTTTTTACTAAGGAATTGCAAATATAAAAAAACTTAAAACAGAAATGAAATGGAAATTTAATTCCTATGCCTGAACTGAGAGAAAGCAATCAAATTGATCAAAAAATCACAGTAAAAGTCAAGTTAAATTACGTCATATTAAAATACTAACCAATTAGATCCGATTTTCTATAAATAGTGATTGATTACTGAGAAGATATATGAATGCGTGTGCATACGTGTATACTTACTACATGTGTATGCGCGTGTGCGTGGGTGGAAGAAGAGATGAGAAGTGGACGAAAAGTATTGCCCACAGAAAAATAAAAAGGATATAAGCGAAGAAGAATGAAAGGGGTGAAAGTTTTTTTGCAGGAAGCGAAGATGATCGTCCTATCTCATCCATCCATCTCTCTCTTCCATCCATCTGTTCTCCCTTTTAAACTGTATTGCTTTCTGTTTTCGATGTGAGATATTGATATAACTAATTCATCTCATCTTTTCTTCCTATCTATCATTCCATCTATACATTTTATCAGACAAAGGCTAACTGATTAACTTTAAAGCGAAACATTTGCTTTATAATCATTATGACCTATTTCTATCATATCATATCTATCCGGTATACTTTTTTTTTCCTGTTTACCGGAAAAATTTCTTATAAGACGAGAATAGGGAGAATAAAAAAAAATTGGAATTTCTTATTGTTAGTAATTTTTGTTCTATCAAGTTTTATTGAAATTTCTTTAAAAGCTAAAAGTAGTAAAATGAGGAATGAATGAAAGGAATGGAATTAATGGAGTGGTAGTTTGTTAACTTTTTAGCATTACACGCACATCTGATGTGAGTAAGATGGAAGCGGGCGCACTATCAGTACTTTCCACTTCAATAATGCAGTGACTGTTGATGATTGGTGTAGTGGTTTAGATGGTGATTATGATGATTATGAGGATCAGGATGATGATAATGGGGATTATAATGAAGATGAGGATGATAATGATAAGGATGATAATGGTAATGAGAATGATAATGATAATGATAATGATAATGAGGATGAGGATGATATTGAGGATGAGGATGAGAATGGTGATGAATGATAATGATAATGATAGTGATAATAAATGGTGCCGCTGCTTTTAGTTTTTAGTGCTTTTTTAGATCAAAATAAATTGAGTCGGATGGTTGAATGATGGACGGATCCTTTCCTTCCGTAGCACATACCCTTTTTTTCTTTTTTTCCCTCTATTTTTTTGCTGTGTTATTTTCATTTCTTCTAAGTTTCAACAAATGTTCACTTAGTTATATGTCTGTTATATATTTTCACTTTTTTCTTGCAGTTTTGCAGATTAGGACTATTTTTAAGTTTTCTGGTTTTTTAAGATTTATTTTAAAAAATTTTTGGAAAAGAATAAATTGAATTACTCTAAAAAAAACTCATAGTGAGCAAAAATAAATAAATACATTCGCTGTTGCTTTCTAAAATTTGTGATACCCCTGAGGATAATATACAAATCATGGCTCATTAATATGTTGATCGTTTGTATTCAATGATTCCCTATGGCCTATACCTTTCTTTCATTATTAACCATTCTTTATGGCTATAAGTCTATAATTTCTCTTTCATTGTCATTTCAAGCCTAACATCTTAATGTACATCAAAAGTTTGTTAATATTAGTTATATATTTTATAAATGAATGTATATCATTTTAATCTTTTACAATTCATTCAATAAAGTAAGATTTTCATGATATGAAAATGTTGAAAAAATTATTTTTTTAAAAAAAAAGGGAAAAATTAACTGCATTATCTGAAGACAAAAATTTGGAAATCAATTGCTTATTAATTAATTAGGAACTAATTTTGGAATTAATATCAATTGAAACTAATATTTCCTTTTTGTCTTGAATAAGCATTGATATCAATCTATCACAAAATGATAATATGATAAATTAGTGAAAGTTGCAAATTTTTCTGTGAATTAAGGCATAAAAAGAAAAGAAATGTATTCTCGTAACATATATATATCTTTTCTGCTGCATAATTTATTAATTTCTTTTCTTTTTTAAATGTCTTTTTTCTTATTTTGCATGATTTTTTATTTTTTTGATAATAAAAAAATAAATGTCACACAACTTATTTTTAGTTCTAAAAAGATTATCTGCTCATTAATGAGATTAGACTAATACTTTTCTTCGATTTTTTTTATTCTGCTTCTGTTTCATTTTCCTTCATTCATCATTTTAGAGAATCCTTTCTTCTTCCAGTCGATGTATTCACTTGAACAGACAGACGTAGTCTCTTTATCCGGACAGATATACTATCTATCATTACGGATCATTCATCCAAACTTTCAGCAACAAACACTCTTTCACTTTTTTTGCGGAAAAGCACTCGAATTTATACTTCTGGTAATCCAAATTGACAATTTCAAAATTTCCATCTAAACTTACAATTAGAAGTCATTTTCATTAGCAAATAAGTGGCCAGAAATAAATATAATTTTTCCTTCGATGAAAATATCGATAACATTTCCAATTTTATCTTATTTATTTATTTTATCGTAACCGTACATTATTCTTCTTCAAATGAGTTGATAGCAATCTTGTTGATATCCAAATATAAATAAAGTTTCAAAAACAAATTAATTCTCTATTTGAATCCGTTTTCTGATCACTCAATATCATTCATCGCAATTCATTTCCAACACGTTTCTCTTTATTATCCACATTCTTATATAAATTATTAAATTATGAATTCATCGAATTGATATGATACGATAAGAGATGAGAAAGAATGAGTTAATCGTTATCATGAAGAAAAGATTTGAAGCAGCAAAGAATCAAATCTGTTATTTATAATTGATGGAAGTTATGTGATAACACTAAACTTATAAATATACTTGTTATCATAAGTAAGTTTGTCTTGTAAATCGGTCTCCCGAATGGATTATATGTCAATCATTTTCCTTAATATATTATATGTCAATCATTTTCCCGAATGGTAAGACATTAATCGTTATTGTCTGTGTTAATATCAACACTGATGGAAACCAACTGCTCACTAACAAACCACATGCTTTCAGATTGCGCTCCTAGCATTTAGCTCCTCACTTCTGGCTCTTGGCTTTCTATTAACCCATTTGCTATCTAGAGAAAGATTAATAGAGCGATGGAGGAGAAATAAATTGAGATAAATGAAGAAGGAACACGATAAATGTTCATTGATCTATTAAAATGTTTTTAGTTTGAAATTAAATTACAATTTAAGAGTTATTTATTTTATCTGCAGTTTTTTATATACTATTACTTTCATATTATTTTCTCATCTTTTGTCGTCTTGAAAAATAAAGCGAATTCCGAAAAGATATTTTTTGATGAATTTGATCAAAATGAGCAAGTTAAAAAATGGATAGCATTTGTAACGAGACGTTGTTAGTCTTTTTTTTTTCATTTCCAATTTTCGTTTTTCACATCTATGAAGTAAACGCCACTTGCCCAATTCTCTCCCATTTTGCATACTAACCTGTGAGTTTACCGACTCCTTCTGATTCCAGGTAGTATTCCTGTTTTACCTGCTCTTTTTTTCTCAGTTCAGTTGACTGATGACAATTTGCATTATTCTCTTGTTGTTCTTTTCGCCTTTTTTTGTCTCAGCAATTTATATCATTTGCTTTTGTGAGCTTGAAATTGAGTTTCACTTTCTCTTTTTTCTTTTTCTCTAAAGCTTTAATTTTTGCATCTCTTTCGCAAATTTCTTCTTTTAGATAATTTAGCTCTTGAATTGAGTTATCAAACAATTTCACTTTATTCATTTTCATTATAAAATTATAACTTTTATGGTGAAAAGTTCAGTTATTTCATATTATTTTTTTCTTTTTGAATTTAGCCAAAAAATGATCGATTATTAATATTTGCTTTAGTTTTTTGCCATAGCAAATGTAACAGAGTTAATCCCATCCTGAGGTCATTTTAAATTATTTTCGAAAAACATGTAAAGAAATTAATGGTTGAGAAAATACAGCTTTGAACTAAGGAAAGTTTTCCCTTACCGAAAAGCTTTCCTTAATCCAAAATTGCATTTTCCAAGGAATCTTCCAAAAAAAAAGAAATGGACTAATTTCAGCTGATGGTAAACATAATTAGCTTGATGATTCCTTATATCGGAATATTTGTCGATAAAATTGACTGGAACAGTTTAGCGCTTCAAAAAAAAGAAAAGCTAAATTTAGATTAGATGTCTTCTTCTGTTTATGATAATTCCCTCATTTGGTATTTGATAAAACAATCTAATGTTTAGATTGTAATTAACAAAGTAAATGAATCAAATAAATTATCCGAACTTTTAATATATGACAAAAAATAATTCATTTTCTACTTTTTTCTGATTTGACTGTAACATCGTAATTAAGAGTATTTATGATATTTTTTTCTGTAATTTCTTCAAATCAAACATGAAGAATGTTGTTATTAATGACTTGTTAGTGTCACCAAGTATCAATTGAATTGAATTAATTGCTCTTTTCTATTTCCCAAAAACCTAATTACCATTTAAATAAAAAGTTATAAACTTTTTTAAACTCTAAACAGCTGTTTTTCATTTCTCTATTTTATGACTTTGAAAGAAGCATTTTTAAAGGAAACTTTTTTTCTCGGGTATTTTCTTGATTAACTAAAATTTCTTTCCGCTTAATTTAAAAAAATCGTAATGGACTAAATTTAGCAATTGCTTGTGTCTTTGTTCTTTTACTAATCAGTTCATTTTATCATATTAATTAAAACCGATTTGTATTTCATACTATGATCAGAATTTTAAGTCAAATATTTCTTTTTTCTTAAATCAAATACATTTGCTTGTCATTTTTGTTAAGTGAACAACTAATTTTCAATGTTTTGTAGTATCTGACAAGAGATCTAATTTAATTTAAATAGGCTTATCTGAGTTCCAAATAAAAAAATTGGCATGATACTTTTCGGGTGTTACTAAAATCGTATAATACTTTTCTTGATATCGGTACTCGATATTAATGCTCAATTTATTCGGTTAAAAATAAAATTGTTCGATAATCTCGTCATCCAATTTGTATTGCAGTTGATATTTGCCGGTGAATATACAAAGGCGATGAATAAGGACTGGCACAGTGATCATTTTTGCTGCTGGCAGTGTGATAACACTCTTACCGGTCAACGATACATTCTCCGAGATGAACATCCATATTGCATCAAATGCTATGAAGACATTTTTGCTAACAGCTGCGACGAATGCGCCAAACCAATTGGCATCGATTCTAAGGTTATTCAATATTTTATCACTGATGATTTGTAAAGAGTTATTCAAAATTAGAAGCTTACTGATCATCAGGTACTAATGATAATGATAAAATTTAGGATCTATCATACAGAGATAAGCATTGGCATGAGGATTGTTTCCTATGTAATATGTGCAAAATCTCACTCGTTGATAAGCCATTTGGCAGTAAAAATGATCGTATTTTCTGTTCCAATTGTTATGATCAAGCATTTGCAACACGTTGTGATGGTTGTGGTGAAATATTTCGTGCTGGTATATTTTTGCTTTTAGATATATAAAGTTCCATTGATAATTTAATAGTAATAGTGATCGTACTACAAATCATTATTATTATTATTTAAAATTATTCATTTCAAACAGAAAGAAAACATGATAGCATTGCTGTAATCTATTGAAGTAATTGATAATAAAAAGTCAAGTGATTGTGGTATTAGATATCGGGTACTAAATAAATTTTAATCTTCCTTTTTCTCTTACAGGCATGAAAAAAATGGAATATAAAGGTAAGCAATGGCACGACAAATGTTTTTGCTGTGCGCTATGCAAAACACCAATTGGTACTAAAAGTTTCATACCTAAAAATGAAGAAGTTTATTGCGCTACCTGTTATGAGGAAAAATTCGCAACAAGGTGTTGTAAATGTAAAAAGGTATTGCAATTTTATTCCTTTTTATGCATTCTTTTATCACTTATTACTATTCAAATGATATACCATCAAATTAATTTAGTAATAACAATTATGCTTACACTAACACAGAAATAATTTTAAATATTTAGAAATGGTTAAAAAAGAAAAAACTTTTCATTCTCTGGATAGATAGATAAATGATCGTACTAATTTTAGGTAATAAGTACCGGTGGTGTAACATACAAAAATGATCCATGGCATCGGGAATGCTTTTGCTGTACAAATTGTAATACATCATTAGCCGGTCAAAGATTCACATCAAAAGATGAGAAACCATATTGCGCTAATTGTTACGGTGAATTATTTGCTAAACGATGCAATGCTTGTGTTAAACCAATTACAGGTAATATTATATTTTAATTCTTTATTTAAAGTCTTTATTGCTTCACTTACTTATTTACTTACTGCCGCTATTACGTCAGTATTTGTTTATCCATTTTAGAATCGTTGCATTCATTAATCATTTAGTCACTTTTCCATCAAAATATTGCTTTTATCAAAGCCTTCTAACACAATGGTTGTTTTCCTCCTCATTTCAATATAAATTTTTGTGATGTTGTTAAAAATTCCCAAAAGTATAAGATGGGTTTTGTTCATTTTAAAATTCCGTTCAATCTTTTTTCTCTTTGAAACAACAAATGAAGAGGATGAGAAGAAAAGAATGAGAGAGGAGGAATTAGTACTCGAAACTGATATAAATTAAATTTTAATGCACAGGAATTGGAGGTGCCAAATTCATTTCATTCGAGGACAGACATTGGCATAACGATTGTTTTATTTGTGCACAGTGTTCAACATCACTAGTCGGTAAAGGCTTCATAACAGATGCTGCCGATATCCTTTGTCCGGAATGTGCTAAAGCCAGGTTGATGGCCGCTAATTCATGATTGATGCTTAATCGATACATGTTTTCGTTTGATTACAGTAATAAATCACATTCTGTACACTTCAGCAATTCTCGATCTTCTTTATTTTTCTAATTTAAATTCTTCAAATTAAATCAGACCAAAAGTCGTGCATTATTCTTAATTTATTGTCTAGAGGCAGATTAAAAATTACTAATCTATGAAGAAATTAGCATTCTAACAGGATGCAAGACCCAAAATCTGCAAGGTAGCAAATCAAGAAGGCAAAACGATCCTAACATACATTCACCTTCAACGATTGAAATTTATGGCTTCTTGAATCTGCGTTAATTTTTTCATTTCTTTAGAGTTCGAAAATACTTGAAAATTGCATGAAATTTAAAATCCTTGGAAACGTTCAACAGAATATTAAAATGTTTTCAAAAAATATTAAAGGATAAATTTGGAATTTAAGGGGATTCCTGTTTACCATGTTTGTTAACAGTTGCAGCGTTTGTTACCTATTTGTCAAATGGTTGAATAAGTTAATACGCCCACTTGCACAGTTGAGGAAATGTTTATTAAGCACAATGTCTTCTTCGCACACTTCCATATAAATCTCTTTTAGGGTTCATTTCTGAGGAATAAAGCAATTTCCTGAGTCGCAAGTTTTCAAATCTTAAAAAAATGCGATTTTACTGATTTTAACTTTAAGGATCAGGATATGTGTTCCTAAAATATTATTAAATTCTCTTAAAATGTTATATTTCTTTTAAAATATACTTTCCTCCGAATGCTATTTTTTCCTTGTGATAGACTTAGTACCACTTGTCATAGATTGTATGCCGTGTGGAAAGAAACTTTGAGATTTCGAATGTATAAAAATTTAACAGATTTGCAGAAGTCCTCCTCGTTTCACAGCTTTAAGCGTCGATAGTTTACGTTACAACTATAGATACTTCTTTCAGAAGTTCTCTCGGCCTTCAGTTCTTTGCAACATATAATTTGATAAAGAACTATATCCATCACTGACTACAGATTCTACAGCATTTTCTAAATACTTAAAGAATCAAAAAATTAACTAAAATTTGGCGAAAATATCCAAAATTTGGAAGATTTATACGAAATCTGAGTAGTTGCGAAACTGCGAGACGGCCTGGTTTACTTTTTTGTCTAACTTCAGTTCAAATATGCAAGAAACGTAGCTGTACTGAGTTATGTTTTTAATCCTTTAAAAAGTCAGTGCTCTTATATAGATATCAATTACTAAAGCTGAAGTGGATTGTCACATATTAATCCTTCAATTTTCTCCACTCCTTTGCAACACTTACTTTGTCAAATTTTGTCAGTAACAGCAACAAAACCAGGAAAAGTTGATTAATCAAAGTACTCATAATTTGATATGTCAATGCTAACGAGAAGTGGTCAACGGCTACAAATTAAACTTTCGAACAAAAGATGAATGATTTCAATGATTTCATCAATTTTCGTGTCAGCTGTAAGACTATTTAGGATGATTTAGAAAGGAGTGATATTTGTCCTTCGTTTCGACGTAATTCGCACAATTACTTAGATGAAAAAAGAAGCTATTGTCAGAAGAATCGCTTGCAGCTTCGATAAATCGATGTGGAAAAAATAAAGCACGTCGCCAATATAAAGACAAACGAAATAAACTTTTATTAAGATTTTTCCACTAGGCTTATTTATGCATTAAGGAATCGATTAATTCGTTTAAACAATTTTTGTTTAAAATGAACTCTCACATTCCTGGTTTTTTACATATCAAGACCAAGAGAATACTACCAAAATTAATCATGCGCATAGGTTGTAGGCCGATCATCGAATTGTTCATCACCAGTAACTTCTTTTTGCTTCCTTATTAATTTCTCCTTTTCTTCCTTTAAAGCTTTCTCTACTTTAACTTTCTTTTCAGTCAGAGTTTTTAAACGATGGATGACCCGTCGTTCATTTTTCATTTGCATCTTTTTCTTCAATTTCCTAAAAAGAAGAAAATTTTACCACTCCAATAATGATTTGATTCAATAAATCCCCAATCTCGGTCTTTTTCAAATAAGTAGATTGAACTTACAATAGAAACTGTTAGTAGCATAATAGAATAAAAATAACTTTTTTTTCGGCAACTCTTTCCTTAACTGCATCAGTTCCTTAGGAGATTTAGTGATGTAGGCATGATAAAGAACTTCGCCCTCATCAATATCTTCTTCGATTTTCGTTAATTGCAATGTCAGCCGAGGACCAAGCTCATAAAGTCTGAAATTATTTAATTCAAAAATCACACTGTGTATTTTCAATTTAGAAAACTAAAAGCCACTACAGGAATGAAACAAATGAAAGAACTATTAAATAATGTAAAGCCAACTACCTTATATTTGTTTTCTGTCCTTCTAAGCATCCACGTGTTGTTAAGTGTTGCGGTAGTTTGACCTCTTTCTGTTCAAACTCATACTCACTTTCGCTCAATTGACCTGGGCTAAAAAGTTCTTAATTCCAGCTCAAAAATTTTCAATAAATTCCTCGAATTCCAAATAAAATTTGCCCTCAAAAAACGCACTTCAAAAAGTAATCTTCGATATTCTTGTACTTCGATAAGTCCGGAACCTTGCCTTGAATTAACTTCTTGGTTGACTTGCTTAGCCCTGCAGGAACTGCTTTGATTGCACTAAAAAAAAAATTAAGAAAGATATATCCAGGAAGTTGACTGGTCAAAGTAACGAAGCATACTAATGTCTCAGCTGGATAATGTCATCATCCACATTATAGTTGATCAACACACAACGTCGAATAGTAGACAAATCCACCTAAACAAAGCGAATTATATCTTTATTTTAAACAGCTGATTTGAACAAAGGCAAAAATCCCTAGACAATTATTTAGATCATAATTTTGAAACCTTATTTACGATAAGATCTTTAATGATATCCTCATCAAGTTAATTTTATATAAAAGGAAATTTACTGCTTTAAAAAATTGAGGGCCTCAAGAAACAAAAAATTAAAGCAGAACGAACTGTGTCAACATTTACTGTAGGAAACATATTCTGGAATACAGATTGTACAAGTTGCACATGCTGACCGCAGTTTGAATTGAAACCACTCATCACGATAAGTGGAACGGTAGTGAATAATTGTTGAAAATGCATTTTGCGCTTTGATGCCGAAATAATGTGCCTTGCTAGAGTGTATTCTTTCACTGTAATAGTAGTTAAAGAAAGCAGCAACATTTCGAAAATGTTTTTCTTATGCCCGAAGCTTTTTTGTTTAAAAAGAGAAGAGATAGTAAGATAAAAAGGATTTTACTGCCTGTAATCACATTTTCAGACAGCATTTGAGCGGCTTTTATCCTTTGACTATATTTTCCAATGGTTTTAACTAGTAGAAGTTAAAAAGGTGGATCATACAGTCAGCCTTGAAATCATGCGATTATGTTTATTCTACAATCTGTAACGCTTCATGCTATTATATGGATCAAATCTAGGAATTTTTTAATAGTGGACGAACATATGACAATTTGCTTCAACTTACTGATATTACATGATAAAATACTGATTTTGGAAATGATCATTTTATACCTCGGAAGGTCAATGTTGGTCCTTGAGGAGATCGAATAATTCTCAATGTTATCCAGTTTTCTCCACGAGTCAATATAAGCAAATGTGTAACGCCAAGAACTGCACCGTTCACGATGAAATCTTTTAGATTGTTCCGTTTCATCACCTGAAATGTAGAAAAGAGAAGAAACGAAACCTTTTTTAACCAAGAAACTTTAAGTTGAAAATTCCATCCTACAATTTTAAAATCTTTCAATTTGCCATCTTAGAACTCAGTTCAAGAATTAATTTGCTGTTTTTTTTTCATATTAATTAATAAAACATTAAGTAAGACATTTTCTTTCGTTTAATTAAAATTATGAATTCTCATCTTTATTTGTGGTGTAATAATAATCTCTCCATACTAAATTTCAGTGTTTGCACTCAAAAAGTTCTGTTCAATAACTCAAAAGAAAATAAACCTACTCTAAGCTTTGACGCAGTAAAAGGCTCCATAATAACACGCATATCATGTTCCAAAGAACGCACAAACTGTCCAACTTTTCCACGATGAATGATGATGGAATGCGGTTCTTTCAACATTTTCCGTTCTGCCTCTTCGTTTGACTTTTGTTTCATCATTTTCTCTTCATGCTTTTCAAAATTAACAATACTCTGTAAATTTACATAAACTGAAAAATGTTCTGCACTAAGTAGATATCCAGTCAAGCTTATCTACAACTACCTCTCTCGACTGTTCTATCAGTAGAGTAGCGAACATTTTTAGCTATAATACCATTTACTTATTCTGCAATATGATTACAGACAGGAATATTCAGAAAACAAAAAAAACTTTAATATGGAGATACTCGAGTCAAAATGCTGACTTCTGAATATTTCCATTTCTTGCGCTGAGCTTCATGACAGGAACTTTGCATTCTTTGTTATAAATATGATAAGACATTTCAACATATAAAAGATATTTTGTTTTTTCTTCATTCAATATAATAAGAGAGAGTACATGCAGAAGGTCACAATCATTGCAATACGTGTAGAACTAAACTTACAGAGTTTTTCTTCGTTCGTTTTGAAAATGGACGCTTTTTCTTGGTGTAATGACCAACATTACTATTACTTCGTTTCCTCTTCATTGCTTTCAATCCTTCAATAAGGCACTGTTGTGTTATGACAAAGATACAAAGCCGATGGTTCAGTCCTATCCACCCCGACACCTCAGTAACTTGTCAATCTCAAATACCCCGCTTACCATCAAACACACAGTCCTCTTAGTTACAGTCCGGGCCAGTATGTCTCTTCTGCAAATATTTTACGGCTGACCGGGATTCCATAATTGCAAAAATTTCCGGAGAGTGGTGAATGTTGTCTGGAGTGTTTGCAGAGGTTTGGTGGAGGAAGAGAAGACCTAGGTGAGATAGATCGTGGCTGACACATTCTTTGACTTATTAACTGCAGTGAGACATATCTTGGCTCGTCAGCTGACGTGGGACAGCTTAGCCCACAAACTGAAGTAGGACAGCTTTTCCATGCTTGCATGAGCCAAGTTCCAGTCCGGTGTTTGGACACTGAAATTTAAGATTGGTACGGGCGCAGACTGAAACTTCTTGTTTTACCTGATCTGTTTTAAACAAAGGAAAGAAGCGGAGAAGAAAAGAATATCACAAAGAAGGAGGGGGTGGGTATGTTGCAGAATGAATATGTCGCTCGGAACTGTAATGGACTGCATTTTAGTATCTCATTATTTCAACATTCTTTTATTTGAGCATTTTAACTAGGATGCCCACGGTCTCATCAGGGTTTGCAGTATCCCGAAGGTCATGGAGTGTTGCTTACAAAAACTTGAAATAGATTCTGGTTCTGCCTCCCATTTGCTTCCCTTTTACCTTCTAGTTTAGGTGTAGCCGTACAAAATAGTTAACAGCGTCGGAATGTTTTCGAATTTACGGCGAATGGTTGCAACAGTGACATGCCAAATTCGATGGGAATCGAGCAAGGCGATAGGACCAACAAGTCCGATGGCACCGGCTGAAAAAGGGACCAGGCCAAAGGTTATTTTTAGTCAGTATGATGAGTTACAAGTTATTTAATGCAGCAATTTATTTTTAGGGAATCTGGGGATTATTGGGCTCACCGTGGCAAGACCCCTTACCGAAAGGCGAAATGGCTGTAACACGTTTAGATGATCTAAATAATATGATCCATCGATGCTCAATTTGGCCAATGACTTTTGGATTGGCCTGCTGTGCTATTGAAATGATGCATTTTGCTGCTCCGCGTTATGATATGGATCGTTTTGGTGTCGTCTTTCGAGCATCTCCTAGACAGGTTTGTTTGTATCACGTCTACACAAAGAATGCCATTTCCATTCTAGGATATTTATATTTAGGAAATTAGTGTTTCTAGCTAATCGATGTGTAAAAATTACTTGCATTGTATATTGTTTTAGGCTTCAAGGCTTATGTGGTGGACACATTTATTTTAAGCAATTATACTAATTTTAAAAATTTTCTTTGAAATAATTTCTTTTTTAGTCAGATGTTATGATTGTCGCTGGAACAGTTACTAATAAGATGGCTCCCGCGGTTCGACGAGTTTATGACCAGATGCCTGAACCAAAATGGGTGATTAGTATGGGTTCATGTGCAAATGGTGGTGGTTATTATCATTATTCATATTCAGTGTTAAAAGGTGTCGATCGAATTATTCCTGTGGATATCTATGTTCCGGGATGTCCACCGTCAGCAGAGGCATTGCTATATGGTGTACTACAATTGCAAAAGAAAATTAAGCGAAAACGAGAGGGTTTAATGTGGCATAGAAGGTAGTTTCTGTGCACCAGGCTTCCTGAATTTCCTTTTCTGCCTTTTCCAGCGTCAAAGATCCAGAACTTTTTAGATAATTGCACATATATAATAAGATGGCATTAAATTAAATAGAATCGTGTCCTCATTTTATAGTTACTCCTGATCATCTTTAATTAGATTGCTTTTTTGAACAAAATCAGATATCCTGAGTTGGTTACGTATGATTTAATTTTTTTTGGATATTGTTATGCTTATGTGTGGGTTTGCAGCTTCTGAGTTTTAATACTTGTACTCATACTCGTGCATATTATTTCTGGATGTCAGCCGAATTTAGGAAGCAGAAGGAAGCCCTTAGGATTTTGTTAGATTGTTTATCACATACTTGTCTCCATTTTGTGATGTAAGTGTAAATAAATAAAAAATTGCAAAAATTGTTGTTTATTTCATAAAAAGGAAAGGTCGTTGACCTGTCGACTTCAATGTCCGCGATAACTGTATTAGGTTCACTTGTGAAATTGCTAAAAAGGCAAGGATATTAGGATGTTGCGGGAGTTAAATGCTCCGTGACGCTTACTATTTCCTCAGCCGAGATAATCATTTGTTGATTTCTACCATTCTTGTGGATTTTTTCTATAAATCTTCAAGTTTTGCATAATAATTGTACACCGCTCTGACATATATCTGCTGCAAAATGTCATGGATTCGGTGATATTTCTTGTATTTGTTTCTTTCATATATTTTAGTTCTTATTTTTTATTTATTTTTTAAATAGGTTTCAGTTCTCGTTTTTCAATTAATTTTTTATGCGATGTTTTTATTTTGCTCTATAACAGCATTACAGTAAGCTAATTTTCTTAGAAAGAAGCTAGTTATATAAGAGTCGATCGTAATTTTACAAAATCTGTTATAGCTGTAGCTTTTAAATTCAATGAAGAAAGACTATTTATTATGGTCTTCTCTCCTAATTTTTTTTGTTTTTGAAACTTCCATTGGTTGTGAATGATATAGTCCCTTGATAGTTTTAGTGGCATTACATTATTTTATACTATTTGATTATCTGAATTATATAGCTTGGTTTAGAATTTAAAATAAGCTGCCATTCAATAATTTTTTTGTTCATTTTTCTTAAAGAGATTCTGGAATTCTTCGAGGAGGAGGTAAATTAAGGTTTTTGTTTTTGTGTTTAGGTGTTATGAGGTTCGCAATAATAATAGTTTGGTAACAGCAATGCTAAAAAGAAGCACAGTGAATTTTTAAAATCAAAAGGGGCGAAGCATGAAATTAGCTAATATTTGCATATTTCGAAGTTTGAATATTGCTGAGTAATCAAAGTTAATTTTTTTGTTGGGAAAATTATTTTCTATTTTTCAATAGTTTGCGCATAGTGTGGTTTCTATAACAGAACTGCAGAAAGTTCAAACTAGTTAAAAGGTGAGATTTTGTCCCATGGAATGTGAGAAGCACACTATTCCTTGTAATGTAAGAAGCGTTTTTGATGTTTTTTCCAGCTTAAGGACTTCGTTGTTGACGTTCAATGGATTATGGCTGCAGCCAACAGAGCTGAACTCGAAGCATTGGAAGTAAGTTTGGCATATTTTTTTTCTATTATTATTTTTATTGTGAAGAGGAATGCAACTCTTAATATCGAAGTGGCTTAGCAAAACCAAAATCTAATTTTGAATTTGGCCCAAGACTAGCTGCAAATTCTAAGTGCCCAGTTCTTTCGTTATATATGCGATTGGAGACTGCGTAATTTCAGGAAGCACCTGAGCAATTTTTTTTTATTTGAACTGGATTTTGATGCAGTGCTTAAGCATATCAACAACTTCTGTACTATATATCTATGTTAGGGAGCGTCATCTGTTTTGACCGGGTATAGCGCTGTTATTAAGAAAGCTGAAAACTGAGTGATTAAACAAATGAATGTGAAATGGTGGGCAGATGTCCTGAAAATGTTGTTGTCTTTGAATCTCTATGTGAGAGAGATATTAATGAATTTCTAACTTTCGTCTAAGCAGAACCCTTTGGTATAGTATGCTGAGAGCAGCAAAGATGTGGTATATACTAGAGAAAAGGAATGAATGAAAGTGATGTGATGAAAATGACCTCTTCATTGTAACGATGTTTTTTTCCTCTTTTCATTCGAGCTATTGTATATTATCTGTCATGTAGCGAAGACGGCATGTAAAGGTCACGGTCAATATATAGTCCTTGTTTTTTCTTAAGACCAACAAATGAGATTCTCATTTCAAGTTACAAATTAAATTTGGTCACGATTTATATAGTTCAGTGTCAAATTGAAAAGTGCGAATCTCGAAGATTCATTTAATTTGGATACAAAATTGAAAAAATCATCTGAATATTGGAGGCTTCTTCAGGTTTTCATACGTCTGTGTCCAATTCCATTACTGCCACCACCGTAATTAGGTCTCATCGGCCGCATAGTCTTTATGATCCCTTATGTCGGTCATCACCTGCAACAGCACAACACCAATGATCTACATCCACATCCATGCATCGGTGGATATGTTCCTTAAGTCCTGGCCAATTTTTTTAAAATTTATTTTAATTCAGAATTTTTTTTGGCTTCTACGAGACTTTTTTAAGGTTTAATCTAGACATGAAAATAAAAACGACTGTTATTCCGTGCGTAATATGAATAAATAATATTAATTAAACAACTTAATTTTTTTTAAATACCACCACTAAATACCATCAATAAACATTAAATACCATCACTGATGTTAAATATCAAATATTATACAAATTACAGTTTTGCGAAGAGTATCAAAGTAATTACACTTTATATATCGATTCCACTGTTAGAGAATATTAATTTGTAGGATTGAAGCCTCAATAATTTTGCTGATTAATAGACCTGGCAAAAAACATTGTCGACTGTAATATCGCTCATGATTTTAGGCTCAAACCATGTTATTGTAGTCTCTGCAAATATGTCATAGGAATTTGATTTTTTGGTATCCTACATTTAGAAAATTCTCCATTACCCCAGAAAAAAGCATTATTTTGTAGGCATCATTGCAACAATTCCGTGTAAACGAGCTTCATATTCTGCTGTCGTCATTTAAGTGTCCGAAACTAGGCAAAAAAACAGAATTAGTACAGCGGTGAGTTTTTTTTTTATATAGCCTTTTTTCCAGTGTAATAGGAATCTGGTGGTAACTGTGTTAGTAGAGCTTGCGTTTGGCGATATTACTTAATCGCTATAAGAGTTCATTGGATTTTTATTCTGGTCCCAAGAATTGTGATGATAATACATCATTGAATAAAATACATTTCAGGTGTATTAATTTGCTACAAAACGCTCGCAATCAAGCTGCAGTGATACAAAAGATTCGCGAAATTAGTTCCAGTAGACGTTACAGCGCATCAAACGCACCTTCGGTACCCATGTATAATCATGTGGATGGTAATGGTGTCATGAATGGTTACAATCCTGTAATGACATTATCATCTGCATTGATGCAGCAACAGTATATCAGTACACACAATCCATTTTCATCACAAGTGGTTCAGACTAGAAGTTTGAACATTGCTGATTTACCATTTTATGATAAAGTTCGTTTCATACTTTAACTTCTTAAATGGAATTTTTCATGATTAGGTTAGCAGTATTGTGATTTTTTCTGCATTATATTTCAAGCAACTATTTCCTTCAGCAGCAAACATTACTTGAACTTTCTGAATTGCCGGCAAATATATCCGGTATTCGATCAACATCTCGTTTGGCTTTTACATTTGCTGTCCCACCAAATATTATGCCACATATTGCTTATAGGTTAGTTTTATGGTTTTTTTTAAGATTCAAAAAATTCGCTTTTCTATATATCTTATTACCTCGGTATTATGTTTTGATGACATATTTCAGAAATGAGTCTGCTACGGTTTTGCCACGTACTGAGCTACAACTACGATTCTTTTTATTGGACCATTCAACTGAACAGCACGATGACTTTCCACCCAATTGCAATGTGAAGATAGACGATGTTCCGGTCACTCTTCCGGTAAATGTGGAATCTGTGCATTCAACTACTTTTTTAGAATTCTTGTAAATCTGAGAAAGTCAAGGGTAATAAATTGTAGAATTTGGTTCATCGTCCATTTTAAAGTTTGACGTAGCTATACTCTGGCTTTTGTTTTACAAATTTGGCTTTTTTTTATGCAGAATATTATCCCAACGAATAAACCAAATGCGGAACCGAAAAGACCGAGTCGTCCGGTGAATATAACCCCTTACTGTCAGCCACCACGAGATGCCATGAGGCCTCATCGATTGGTGGTGGAATGGTCTGCAGATAAACGCTCTTGGGCAATCGGCATTTATGTCGTAAAAAGACTTACCTCCGATATATTGCTGTAAGATTTCTGCTTTATTGTTTTCATTTATGTGTGAAAAAAAATTTGTCACTTAGATTAGATTATGTACAAATACTTTTATCATCTGATTTGAATGATGCAAATGATTTCGATTTCTCTCAGTACTTCGCAAATACTTGATAATTTGGAGTGGAAAATTTATAATTTTCAGCCAGCGTCTATTAGATAATCTTGCTACTCGTCGTGATGCTGAAGAAACAAAACGTGTGATTAGAAATCGTTTATCTAGCGACGATGATGCGATACAAATGGAAACGCTAAGAATGTCCTTATTGTGTCCTGTAAGTGCATCTTTTCTCTCAACGGTTATCTGTTCTCGATATACATTTGTTGATTGTAATTCTTGCGCAGTGTATACTAAGACGAATTATGAACAAAAAAAAACGAGTTTGAAAATGAAACAATTCAAATTATCTATGATTTATACTTTTTAATTTTGCCATATGAAGAACTCTAGATTATAGCCTATAAGATATAGGGTTTTTCTAATTTCGTCGCATATTTCTTTTAGATTATGATGGAATTTTTTTCAATTACTTAGTAGCCATTAATTATGCATATTCGTCAAAAAGTAGTAGCGTACGGATTTTTTGCAGCTTGGAAGAACGCGAATGCTAATACCGGTCAAAGCATATGATTGCACACATTTGCAGTGCTTCGATTTATCAAATTTTTTAAAGATGAATGAAAAACGACCGACGTGGAAATGTGCAGTTTGTAATAATGGTGCACCTTACAAGAAACTAATTATTGATGGGTGTGTTATTTTTATCTGACTGTACACACTAGGTTTAATAGAGAAAGCGTTCTTTTTTTCTAGTTGGAGCACTTATATTGGTGGACTATGTAGTCTCTACTTCGGCGCATTTAGCTGATGAGAAAGATATAATTTTAACTGTAGACATAATTTACTTTATTTTCTCTTAGCATTCTAATTTTATAATTTTTAACGCCGGATTGACATATATGCAAATTTCAGCTATTTTGAAAGGGTTCTGAAAGATACAACTCTGAATATCACAGAAGTTGAACTGTTTAATGATGGTGGTTGGCGACCAGTTGATGAGGAAGATAAATCTGTTTCCGATAATGAAGAAGAAATAAGTTCGTCAAACGATTCAAAAAGTCTTTCTAAAAGCGTCAAAAATAGTGCATTACATAATGGTAATCGAATAAATGCAGTCTTGGATGATGATGTCATAATTCTAGATAGTGACGACGATGATGAGGTACTAACCTTTTCTAGTTTGGTGGTTTAGAATCCCTCTCTTATATCTTTTGTTGTAACTCTTATAAAGAATTTACAGTATCTAACTTGTGTCAAGAGTTATTTATCTCTTAATCTTAAAGCAAGTTCAAAAAGCGACGTGTATATTAAATTAGTCTCGGTTTTCCTTTTCTGGCATATACTCTATCAGAATGGAGCTTAATATCTACTTTGCTTTTTGTTAAACAGTGATGATGGTCTGACTGGATAAAATGACTTTTCAATTTTTTTAGATTCTACAGCAACGAGCGCAAAGACGGAACATCACTCCTTCGGTTGTATGTATCGATCTTGATGACAGTGATCCAGTGGATCTATCACCGCACACATGTCAATCATCCCACATATCTTCCACTCCGCTATCATTCAACAGTAGCACGTCACTGGTGGCATCCACGTCATGCGCATCAGTAACTGGTACAACGGTTGGAAGTTCTGCTCAGATTAGTAGCAATCGTCCTATCATGCACTACCAACAACAGCAGCAATCACCACATCCGAGCCAATCAGTGCAATATTTTCCAAATCCTGCGGTATCGCTGGTACCACCACCTGATACTGTCATAGCAGGTACTAGTAATGCCAATTACTTCCATTCTTTCGAACAGCCATATTCATACTATCAACAGGATTTCAATACTCGTCTAATTGCTGAAGAACTGCGACAGTTTATGGCCAATATTCAACAGTCAACGAATGCACCCAGTTTTCCTAGATACTCGTCGTAATTGATTTGATAACATACTATGTAGATTGATTGAATTTGTTTTGACCTTTTGGTGATTCACTTGAAGTTTTGCTTGTACCATCAAGTGATTGTCAGTTCTTTTTTATTTTAATGTTTAAATATATTTCCAAGACCTTTCAGCTCATCGAGCTGATATTCAAACAGAGTCTTCTTTTTTCTCTGACCTGCTACTCCTGTGTAATTTTATGTCTATAAGGAAAAGTATTTATGATTATAATTTTAATAAGGTGAAGTATATGGTATTTTCATCGATTTCATTCCTTTTACTGTAATAAGAATAAATCAGAGATACGATTTAATTTGAGACAAGTTGAGCTGATTGATCTTCTTGTCGCGCTTACCGGTGGTTCTACGTGAACAATATTTTTGGAAGTAGGTCTTCTTTATGTAGAGGTCCCGGACTCATTATAAGTTATAGAAATATTGTTCTGATTTTAGTTAAGCTGTTTTGTAGAATATTTGACGTGAAAGTTAGTGTTCATTGCTCATCTTACAACGAATTGTACTCGTATTTAAATTTTGATGGATTTATTTCATAAGAAAATCACTTGAATTGTCTAATTGATGTGGGTGTTCATCTCTGTATATATAGAGATTCGCAAAGAAAGTGGAATGTCAAAATGCTGTTTAAAATATTATATATTATGTTTACTTTTTGACAATTCGATGGTATATCATTAAGAACGAGAATAGTTTAGTGATAGTTAAATTTTTGATCTTTTATAGCACAACTTCATGATGATGTTCGTTTAAGAACGCCATTCAAAATTGTAGACTAATGGATTCTGAGTGCGGAAGATTTTTTTTAGACACTTTTGGTTTACCAACCTTGACAAATGGTTCTCATGTTTTTCCAGCGTAAAATCGTTGAAGTCCCGTTGCTAGAAATTAATAACCGAGAGTATAACCTATGAAGCGTTACTGTTCAGAAAATGGTGCTAATTAGGTAGAAAATTTATAGTCTATTGAATCGGAGCGTTGTAATCTTCTTGTATGAAGTGGAACTGAAATATAGATTTGTTTGTAGTTGGTGATTGACATTAGGCCAGTTTCATAGTAACAATTTAGATTCATTTGAAAGATATATCCAGCTGAATTTATGAGTCGAAAGATAATGTCGGGGATAGCAATGTCAAGCTCTTTAATTTTTATTTTGTCAGCTCATGCTTATTTTAATGCCATTTATTTACATGGATTTTCATTTGCAGTTATTGGCATTCTGTTCTTTTTAATTTGTTCGTTCGTTTTTTCGCGAAAATTTAAATCCACGTGTTAGATATCCGAAATCTGGCTGGGAAAACTGGAATATTCTAGTTTGATGAATGATTCACAAAGCATACGATGATATCATTTGCAATCAAGCTTTTCGTACTCCGTTATTGTTCAGATTTGTAAGATCCGAGGGAAGATATATAAAATTCCATTTCGGTATATAAATGCTGAAAGCATTATATACACGTTCAGTCTTATCATCAATATTGTTAAGATTCTTTTTCATAGAAAATCAAATAAAATGAGTAACCTTATCGATGTCACTTCTTAAATGCAAATATAATGCCTGATTTAGAGTATATTTATAGAAAAATGATTTCCATTATAAAAGTAGTTTAGATGCATGGTTGCCATGCCAATCGTACTTGAAATACAGATTTTCAGTATTTAATTAACACACGGATCTTTTCAAATATGCTATGAGATTAGAAAAAGATTGCGAAGTTTTTTTTTCCAAAATGAGAATAAGTGCATGGTAAGGATTGAGATTCACTTACCTCATCCTTTAATCAACCGGAACAAAAACATCGACCGAATTTATTGTTCCTGTTTTGCCGCCTTACACTCATTTTTTCACTTCTCTACATTGTGTTGTGAATTTTTAAATGTATTTCACAAATGAATTAATATAAAATACAAGGAGAATGTATTCTCAATGGCATTTAGTCTTTTCACAGCATAAACAAAAGCAGTACTGAGATTAACTTTTTCAAGGTTGAAAACTGCTAAGTTTCATGTTTAAATATGCTTAATGTATTGATTTTTTAAAAAAATGAAATGATTTTTTAAAGTAATGCATGGATATCACTGTAGCATGTGGAAATATCTTGCACTTTTCATCCTATGTTGCTTTTCAGAAATTCAGATTATTCAATCGTATAAAGTAAAACAATTGAGTAAACAGAAAGAGAAGAAAGAATTGGCATGAGTGTTGTAGGTCATTTCCTAAAAACGTAATACTGAACAAATTTTTTTACATCAAGTTTTTAGCATTTCAAAATAACATCTGAATCTTAAAATGAGAATTTTAAAAGAAAAAAAATGAACAAATCAGAACCTGTATTTTATACACGGAGTTCACCGGCAGTAAATAATACATCGGCTTTTCTGAGTAAACATATCCTGTGATATTACATTCACAAAATGACTGGAAAAAATGGAAAAATAAGATAAAACGTTGCCCTGTGTAAATTATATTTGCAGCAAAAGAATAATTATTAGGAAAAAATTAAAAAGTATAGCTATCCAATAAATTTTGAGGGAAAGTATGAATAATTCAACTTCTTCAATAAGAAACTGATTAATTTTGCTTTTACTACAATATTATGTTATTTTACGCGATGTTATCGGCTCAAATTTTTATCATCCACCTTGATTTGCTGATTTTTATTAGCAAATCGAGGCCTTTTTTTTTATATCAAATCGAAAGAGAATGAGGTGTTTAACAATTATGGAAAACTTTTTTTAATGGCAATAAAAATT